TTTAGGCAGCTGACACTTATTTACAAGTCCTACATGGGTCTCCATCCTCCTTTTCAGGAAATGGGGTGAATTATCTAGCCCTTGAATTAGAGCAAAGATTGCTACTCTTGTAGCCCTGTCAGTCTCTTGTGAAAAGTGGCTGTGTAGGAGGGCAGGGAAAGTAGGTTCCCTATGTTCTCTGTTGTTCCAGTCTCCTACTTAGCCTGACTTCTTCACTGAAAAGATATGAAGGAGCAGCAGCTCACTGTTTCTTGGAAAACGAAATAGTCAAGCAGGGTTAAGGAATGAAGTAGCTGGAAAAAAACCTTCGAGATAATTTCTTCTCCTCCTCTGCACACAACAACCTCAAACCTGAAGGACAGTCAAGGCAGAAGTATTTTTACCCGGAGACTTCCAATCTCCCATGTCATATCAGAGGAAGCTCAGAGAGATCAAGAAAGATGTTGTTGTCTAGGACACACCAAAGCAAGCTGATGGAACCTCCAAAACCCTTCTGTAAGCCAAAGATCAGAGAAGGCAGATCTGGAATTAGATCCTCCACTTTTCCTGAACTTCTTTTAACTAGAGGCTTAATGGCTGGAAGCAACAAAGAGAGGCTAGAGTACCTTGTTTTGCTCCAAACATCACTTCCGGCTAGGAGCTCTGAGGTGATAGCACATGTTCTTCTCCTTTCACACACTTGATAGCAAAAGAGGGGAGGAAAGGGTATTGCTAGCGCTAAGTCTCCAGCTCAGTAGCAGTCTCAACATGTTGATCTCTGCCTTTCCCCCACACCCCTGAAAGTTATTTTTAAACTGGTCTAAAAATAGCTTCTCTTTTTTCTGATGCTTAATTAGTTCCAATTAAAATAAACTACATTTTAGTATACATTGAACTGAAGTTTGAATGATGCAGATAAAATACAATGATAAAAAGCTGCATTTAAACATAAATATACATGCCATCTCAAGACTTCCAATGGGATTTGTTATGAATCAAATATTCCCCTCAGCATTAGTGTCTTATGAGTCAGGAAAACAGTCATCATTAATCACTTCAAGTGTTTTTAGAAAGGTGGTTTCTGCTTGCCGCATGTTTTTATTCACGTCAGTCATTTACATAGATTAAAAGGTGTGCCTAGTACTTTACAGACAAATAAGACAAGATCTTTGCTTTGTAGTGTTTACGGCTATAAGACCAAACAAAACAAGAAAAGATTCTCTTTGGGAATGGAATGAAGAAAGAAGAGAAGTTACAACTATGGCAAAGCAATAAGTAATTTTTGCTACATGATGTAGGATATTTGCATTTCTGTATTATTTTTTAGACAGTGCCTACAATTACTACTCACCATTTTAAATAAAAATTAATTTACACAGTTCACTTAGACTCTCATATTGCTATAATCAAAGTATTTTATGCTCACCCTTTTCAAAAAGGAATTCAAGTCATCATTTAGCTGTTAGACCATTTCAGGGGGAGGGGGGGAAAGGTGTCCCAGTTCTCCAATGCATACTCTCTTCTACACTTCTTTCAAGAAGCAGTAGCACAGATGCCAGAGTTACTGTATTCTGAGTGGCTGCTGGGGGGGGAAAAAAAAAAAAAAAAAAAGCAGCAAAATATATTTTCCACTCTTGTCTTTTAAATGGAGCCCAGAAATAAAACACCCATTCCATGGCTGCCACTTAATTCCTATCACTTCAGCAAAGAACAAAGAGATCTGAAGATTTTCATTTGCTCTTCCCAGCAATGTTTTTCAGTCTTCTTTTTCTCTTCTGTACCAATACCTAACAACAACCTCTTAGTTAAAATATCTTCATCTGTACTCCATGGAAAGACTGTATACACACATATGTTTTTCAACACAGCCAATTAGCCTACAGCCCTTTTGGCAGTAAGGAACGTTTACACACTTGTCCAACACTTTTGCCTGAGTGTTAGAGCTGTTCTAGACTTCAGTGCTCTAAGCAAAAATACCTGCCTACAACAGCATCACATAGCTGTGAAACAATAGCTATGAAGCCAATACAATTAAGGACACTGTTTCAGAAGTACTCTGTTACAAGCTGTTTATTAGAACTTCACTTTGACAATAAATAAGGTATTTTCCAAGCAATCAAAACGTAATTATTTAGAAAGTTAAACAACTGAAGTTTTCACAATGCTTTTTTTTTTTTTTTAATATATATACACATGATTTACTGTATTTTAAACACCAGTTCCTCTGGAGCTGTACAACAGCAGGACATCTATTTTCTAATTTCACACAGCAGACTATCAAGCCATCTTTAATCTAGAAACTGTGTGTAAAAATAACCCAAACTATATCAAGTTGAGCTTGGATGGTCCAGCTGTTACGAATGAATCTATTCAATCATTAGACTAGCTGTTGCTGAATTCAATTTCTGATGTATGGCTTACCCAGGAGAAATAGCGCCTTTTAGATTTTATTGTTTTAATGAGTAAGCTGCTCAATGCCAAAAGTACCGGTTAATCATTTGTAGTTCTGTTGCTGCACACACTGTTCTGCCCTCAACACAGGTGGCACAGAACACACTTCTGTAAGGGATGATCATTTTCAGTGCTGTAAATCCTAGTATTAGTAAGTACAAACTTTGCACTTCAACCTACCATTAATTATGAAAATGTCTTTTGGTTTTGGTCAAAAGAATTTGCATTTTTTGCTTAAATACTCCAGACATGTAATATGCCTATAAAATAATACTTTTAAGAGTTTGACGTTCACAAAGTTAATTTCAAAAGAAAGAATGTTCATGTTAAATAAAGCACCAACTTTCCCCATATGTTTATTCATTAAAGAAAAGTATCAAAGACCAGATGTTTTAAAACATTAGCTCTGCTGAGAGTTGTAATTTAAAAATAAAATTTAATTCTTATGGTTTTATCAAAGCCACATTTCCAAAACCAGTTTTATACATTCTGTGCAACATCCCATTTTCTTTAAGTGCAGAGGTACAAGTCTCCAAGTTATGCAGCTGCAATTGAGTTATCATCTGCTTGTCGACCCTGAGGCTTTGAGGAAATAAAAACAGAGTTTAAAAACATGACAGACTAGAGTTGTTGTGAAACTCACTTAGTAATATATTGTGCTGATCACTGTAGGTGAGATACACAATTATGTCATTAAGTCTATCCTTGTTTCTAAGGGTTTCTAGTAGTAGGACAAATACAGAGCACATTCCACTGGAATTTCACTTTGGCCCAGCCAGTACTTGGTAGCAGGCCTCAGCTCCTTAAAACCACCCTGTTAAATGCCAAGGGAATCTCCATACATGTTTAAATAACTTAGCACAAGGCCTGCCTGATTAGAGTTCTCCAAGTATTACTACAGTATAAAAAATTGATAGTGATAAATGCATGAAATGGGAGTAGCACTAAAAGTTTTGTAGAAGAATCTTAAGCAGAATCACAAGAGATGGGAGACAGTAAGGAGGAAGTTTTAAAAAAAAGAAAAAAGCATCATTACAACAAGGTTCTTTGAGGTTCTGACAACTTCAATGAGAAAGCAAAGAACTCAAAAAAATCCCAGGAGGTTCTCTTGTAAATAGGGATGTGGAGAACACCTGACTTCTGAGGAAAAGAGCCTTTTGTATTGACTTAAGGGAACATGTTGATAACCAGTCTAGAAGACTGACAGCATATATAAAAATTAAGCTTTGCCTAAACTGAAAGAAGGCCAGGCCTGTTTCCAGGAAACAGGATTAGAGATGTCAGAACAAGCCCATCTCAAGTAACATGAACAAACTCTCAAGGCTCCTCACTTGTTAAGAACCTGACTAAAAAGTCAATACAATATTCTGGAGACAGAAGCAGCAGAAGAATGCAGTGTTTTAGGTTACTGGATTTAACCTACTCTGAAAAAGCGAGGAAAAAAGACACCAGCATGAGATGCATTTATCATGATGTGATTGAACTGACTTCAGAGCTGCACCAGTTAAAGAGGAGAAAAAAAAGTATCTAGAGAGTGATTCACTGAAAGGACGTGTCTTTAGAAGTTATTTAGGGAGGTGTGGGATCCTACCGTGTTTCTGAACTTAGAAGTCACATGGAGTGCTCAAGTATTTCTTATTTTCAGGAGTGCTACAAATTATTGTATTAAAATACTTTATTATATTTAGCTTCTTCCACTGTTCTCAAAGAATGGAGAACTTGAATAGCAATTTTATAGAGTAAGCCAGCTAACAGGCTACATGCATTCAGCTATTCGATCTAATTTTAACCAAGTGCCTGTTGCATGTATAAGTCCTACTTATACATAAACAAATTTCCTAAGGATTTTGTTTGACAACAGCAATACACAGGTTATCACATATTCACAACCCAAGACTTTCCAGAGCAAATAACTCAGTTACTAACTGTCCATTTTTAGTTTGCTGAGAAGCATTCAGCTTTGAACAGAGCTGGTAGTCCTCAAAAATAAAGCAGCCCTACAGGGAGCCCTTCAAACACAAGAAACTTCTCAGTCTTACCTTTACAAAAATGTGTGTAGGTATGAATCGTCTGAGCAACTGATCAGTGAAGTTTGGAAATCGCATCAAATTAATATGAAGAGATGGTAACTGCTGATATCCAGCCATCAGAGGATAGAAGTTGTATAACATT